TTACATTTCAGCAGCAGATAGATGGCGCATGTATGAAATAGGATTTAGTGGAGAGCCAGTAAGCAGGTGGGTCTAATTCATATAGGCTTAGGCGACTCCATTTTTCTTAAAATTGATCATTTTTTTTCAAGCCTAGCCTGATGCGTAGTGATTGAGCTAAAGGCTGGGTTTGCATGCCTCTTTTCTTCTTTTATTATTTTTAAAAATATTTTAAAATTTTTAAAATTTAACTTGTATATTATAATATTATATATTCTTTTTTAATATGCAAATTATAATATTAAAACATTAAAAATAAATAATATAAATTTTAATTTTAAAATATAAACATATATTCTAAAGATTAAATTTAATTTTAAAATTAAAAATATTTAATTTTTTTAGGATTAAAATAAAAAAATGAGCCTAAACAAACCATCAAAGCCTCTTTTTATACAAAGAGTTGGGTTTAAAAGTTTGGTTATACTAAAATTTTTAAATTTTTCAAGTTCGATTCTTTAAAAAAAGAAGTTTAAATAGGCAGCTCATCAAATCCAATTCTATTCTTGCCTCTAGTTCCTAAGATAGTGTGACCCTAATTTTCCTGTGCACTTTAAATTATATTTCTGTTGTTATATTATATTTCATAAATTCAGAAATAAATTAAACTTGTTCATCAAAAAAAGAAATAAATTAAATTTCAATTTGTTGGACAAGGGAAAATCAATTTAAATGGAAATTATATTGAGAATTCCCCAGGATAATGCAAACGAGGAATAACTAACACCTAAACATCTTTGATTTTCTAACTGTGTTATTTATGCAACGTATAATATGAATATATGGAAAATAACATACCATCAACAACATGATAATATGTTGATAACTAGTGTAGATCAGCAAATCATTTAAAAAAAATTACGTGATGCGAATTATATACTTGTATGAGTTCAAATCTCTTTGTTAAAATGAAGGTCTTTTTAGTAAATAATTTGTAAATATTTTTTTAATCCTATGACTTGCCTTAGGTTAAATTGGTTCAAACAAATGGATTAAATAAAATTAGGCAGTTTAAGTTTAATTTAATTTTATTCTTATATCTTAAATGTTTCTATATGATAAAAATCTTCAACCTGCCACTTTTTAAAATATAAAAAATTTAAACAAATTTTATTCTGAATAATAGGTATTGAAGAGAGGCATGCATGATAATTATGAGAAAATCCCACGATTGGGGCATAAAGAAGGATCTGGACGTAGCTATTGCGCCTCAGTGACAATGGCAAAACATCATTGCAGGAGATTTGTTGGAACCAAAGATGATATATATTCCACTTATTGAGTCAGGGGAATTCAAATCAAACACTCTTGGACGGCGAGGTGCTGGGAAAGTGATGCGCAACCCATAAAAAAGGTGGTACCACGTTTTGATATGGCCAAAATTGAACCACCCCACTATGTACGAACCTCATGTCCTCATGTCACTTCACTGCTAAGTCCATCTCTGGGCATGCAGCTTCCACTATACATATCCTTCCATGTAAAATGAAATGGATTTGCATGATCCAGAACAAAGTGAGTGCAACAGAACTGGATTGGGTGATTCTTCACCTAGGGGCGAAGCTAGGATTTGATAAATGTAAGATTGAGATTAAAAACCATAAATATTATGAAATTTTTACTTTTTATAAATCCCTCAAGGAGATTGAAAGTATATGATATTTATATAGCATTGAGAAATTTTTTAAAAATTGAGGGGCTATGATCCTTGCTAATCTCGCTCTGTCCACCCTTGTCTGACTATTTCAAATTATGTGAATCTTTAAAGCTTTATTAATTCTCACTCTTAGTTCCACATCCAATTCCAATTTTACTCCCTCCAAATTCATGCCTACATACTAGATAGGGCATGTGTTTCTTGCTTTTCTAATGTTTCAGCTCTTTCTTTAATTTCATTATTGCTTTTGGGTAATTTTGTACTGGTGCAGAAGAAAAGGCAGAGAATCCAAATTCATTCGGCATGGTGTTTGATAACTGGCAAAGAAATTGCATGTATACACTTTCTTTCTTTAATTTCTCTCTCTTTTTAATGTATTTTTTATGCTTTTTGCTTAGGTTACTCACATTCCACCATGGAACCTGAAATGTCCATTATAATCAGGGGAGCTATTAGCTTTGCATATTAGAGGCATGCCAAGTAGAATTGTGCTATTGCTGGGGAAAAAAAAAATTGTTGAACTGTGCTATTGTTTTTATTCTACCTACGGTCCTATGAAGTAATTTCTCAAAATGTAAAGCGTTTTTTAAATTTTCAAATAAAAATACAATGATCATAAAAAAGCCCTCATTTTAGCATGATAAGCTAGCTATACAAATTTGTCTTGGTATCATTTTTTTTATAGAAAAACATAATACTATAGATGTAAAAATCATATATATCATCTACAAATCTCATAAATCATGACTTTTGACTTTATAAACTAAATTACGTTTTATCTCTCATGAACAAGGTTGTCTTATCCCTTCTATATTGTAATCATTTTATTTTTATGTTTGTTTCTTTAATCTATTTCATTCTCATATTTCCCAACCAAATAGCTCCTAAAGTATGATCTTGCATATTTTAATTTTTATGTGAGAAAAAAAAAAACTTACCTCTCCCTTGTGCTCACCGAACAATGTGTCAAACAATAAGATCACTAATAATTGATAGTTTTTTGGGCCAGGCATGGATAATTAATGGTTAAGTGAATAAGAACAGGTGCGTGAAGAGAGGGAAAAGAACAGGTCAAATTAATTTAAATTCCGATTTTGGAAAAATAATGTGGTCCGTCATAATGAAGAGTATTTAATTAATAGTTTAATGCAGAGGCATTCAGGCTTATATATTTTTCTTCAATAAAATCAAAATTAATAGATTTTAATGTGTTAATAATATTAATAACAATATTTTATTACAAAATAAATAATATATAAAAAATTCATATTTCTTAATTTAATTAAAAATAAACACGTTAAATTAAATATTATATAAAAGTGGAAGGGTAAGATAACAAAATTCAAGCACGGTCCCGTTAGTGTAATATATATATAGATATATACATGCATAATTACGTATATTAATAAATAAAAGTTTAGGTAAGTTAGATTTTGAAGATTAATCAAAACAAGGCCATGCCTTCAAGTTAAAGAAGTATTTATAAAAATATTTATAAATTACTTGCTAATAAAATTTTTATATCAATAGCAGTGTTTGAATTTATGATCTTGATATATAGTATATTATATGTTTGTCTCATTCTTGCTCGTCATTGAGGTCTAAGCAGAACGTACCTGATCTCCTTCGAAACCTGGACTTCATATTTGGGCTTACGTCCCGCTAATTTGTTCTTGGCCCAACCCTGAGCCGTCTTTCAACTTCTCGGTAAAACCAAAAAGGGCCTTTTCTTTCAATTTTGTCAATCTCGTTGACAAAGCCCAAACCTATTTGTTGCTCTTTCTTTATTTTGGGCCTGAATATTACTCTGTTAAGAAGCCCACCTACAAAGAATTCTGGCAAATCATTGTGAATTCTAGTCCTTTGACTGCATTAGTGACAGAATTCTTATTAAAAAAATAGTAATAGAATCATTAAATCTCCTATGAACATAAAAATAAGAAAGAAAAATGTAAGAAAGAAGCACTTTAATGAGAAAACCTTACTATTAGCTGGTCCTGAATCCTCAACGTTTACAAAATGATTGAGAAAGAGAAAAAGGCTTGGGCCATCAGTGGAAATATGTTAGCTTAGCTTGGGTTTTGAATCAAAAAGCCAAGCTCACCTTGTGAGCTTAAAGCCTAAGATAGCTTATTAGCTCATGTAGGGCCCTTTTCAACTCAAGTTTAGATCTATTAAAAGTTAGCCCAACCTAAAAGCATATACGAAAGCTTGATAAGATAGCATGCCTTTAGTTATGTTTTAAAATATTAGGTCTCACTGTTGAAGAATGAAGAAGGAATTTGGTGTAGTGGAATGAGTTAACTTCTCATAACGTGCGAATTAAAAATTTAAATTATCTTTTTAGCAAAGTGCATACATACAATACTTGATCATGCATTAATCATGGTCATCTTTAGTAGAAGAATATATGTATACAATAAAAAAAAAATACCACAATGCATATAATCAGTGTAATTCAAAATTACAAGTTAGTTTTCAACTTGTTAAGAATTATGAATTATGGGATAATCTAAGCAAAACATTGCTGATTGCAACGTGAAAAGGAGAATTGAAAGATTACTGGTGCAACTTTTGAAGATCCCTTGGTTTCTAATAAGAACTGAAATAAAAACATTAAAAATTTGGGTTTTGACACACTTGCTACAAACACAGTAATAAACACATGCACACATGTGTACGTGCTAACTGGAAAGGCTTATTAGCCATACTCGAGGCAAACAAATTTAATATGTCTATTTAAAGATAACTAACTATAAATTAAGATTTAGGCTTCTTCGTTTAAATAAGATACGATGAACAAAGGTGTATTCTCTTAATAGGTTTTTAATGCGTCTATTTTCATCTCTAATCAACTATATATAAATAACTCACTTAGATACAGGTAGTATGAGAATGACAATATTCGGATTTAACTTAACAATAATATATTTTACACGCATATATGATGGCCAAAATTTGCTTGTTTTATCAACTCAATTCTCGTTTTAGTTCTATTGCTTGGTTTTCTGCTTGAAGTTTTGCTTGCCTTAACAATAAAAAAGAAAGAAGGAAAGAAACATCCAAAAATTGTGCGAATTCAAAGTCCAACTCCAAGCCTGCATCCCTGCTCGGGCTTGAACACCGGAGTGGGCCTTGGCCTCTAAATTTGAAGATCCACGAGATGACGTCAACACTTTGCCAACTGTCCCTCCAGTGGGTCCCGCCTTCCAGGCTTTGTGGGAAAACCAGCTTTCTTCTTCCCCGTTTGACTTTCCAAAACCTTAAACCCTTTCAAGCAACTGCCACAACAACTGCTTAAACGATTAAAAACACTCTTTAATTGGTCGCCAAACACTCCACGAACTCGAACCTATCAAGGACACACACAGGCGCACCGGCCTACCATTTCTTCCTCCTTTTCATCTTCTTCCGTAAAGTTCCTTCCCGCTTCGCTTACACGCACACAAGCATTGAGACCTATTGATTTTCCTCTCATGGATCCTCCTTCTTCCATGCCACCATCTCTTCACATGGCAATGGCTGCCTTCTTTGGAGCTTCTTTGATGGCTCTTTCCGCCTTCTACATTCACAAGCGCAGTGTCGACCAGGTACTCAGCCGCCTCATCGAGATCCGCCGCACTCACTCTCCCACTTCCCGTCCAAAACGGGAGCAAGAACAGCTCTATGGTGGTGACGATGATGATGAATGCGATGGCGATGACCTCAGAGAGTTTGGTTCCGACGGTGGAGGAACGGCTGTTGATCCGAAAGATTATTCTAGAAGCTTGTCGAAGTCCGTGGACGAGAAAGGGCATCGGAGTTATAGAATATCTTCATCATTACCAAATGTTGCGCTTGGAACTGACTGGTCCGAAGAGGACGGCAAGTTTGAGCAGTTAGTGGGTTATGAAGCTCGGGCTCGTGCTTCTTCGCTAGATAATCTGAACTTTGTTGCCTCAGGGATTCCTCCACTTCGAGTGGATGGAAGAGATAGTACGTTATTCTGGATTAATTTCGTTTATTTTTCTGAGTGGACATGCTATTTCATTTAAGTTTATAACGATAAGTTGGGCGCAAGGAGAGAATGAAATTGTTCTTCTTGCGCTGAGGAGGTGCAATTTGAATCAAGTAGAAATTATTTTGAACTGTAGTGTGCCTTACTTCTGTCTGTTTTGTGGCTTTTACAGGAGTGAACGCTCAGCTTTCATGTTCCTACAAAAGAATAGCATCTTTCGGTAGAATTAAGACTCCGAGGTCTCCCAGCCGTAATACATTTGAAAGCGCCGAAGATTCGGACGAAGAAGGACAAGGCCTTGAAAATGATGATCTTATTCCTTTCTATCCGGGGAATACAGAGTCATCAAATAACAATGTGAGAATATACTCTCTTAAGTCTTATCTCTTTCCGTACTCTGTTAACTCTGAACGCTGTCAAAGAACTTTCTCAACTTTGTTCTGATATCAATTTTTGCATTTCCCTTTTACTTTAAGATCAGAGGATCGGGGTTAAATATCACGATTTGTTACCTTATTTCTTTTTCATAAAAAATATTATATATTTTTATCGAGTTCTAGACTAATAGCTTAATATCTGTCACGATAGTATTTAAATAGTTGATAATTCAAAGAACTTAGAAATGAAAGGATGCTTTTGTGATGTGAAAATTTTGATGGTATTATAGCATGATCCTTAATCCTCTCAATTGAGAGATGACTCACTTATAGTATATTATCTCTCATTACTCGTATTTCTACACTAGTGTTCTCACCTGGTATGTGTCGTTGTAGGGAGTAAACTCAAGCATAGGCAATTTGTCTGCTATTCCTATGAGAGGTGATAATGCGAACTGTCCAAACAGCCAAATGTACAGTGAGACCATAAAAGAAGCTCAAGCTGGTGCAGATATGCAACACGATGCAAAAACAGGATCAACTCCTGTACATTCAGTTGGAAATGGTCTCTCGTTTTTCAATACTGTCTTGCCTCCAAGAATAGCAGTGCAAGGTGCGTTCACATTCCTGTTGTCTTCTGTCTGCTTATTGTTTCCAAATTCTTTCCGTGCTATATATTTTTGGAATTATTTCTTCGATGTATGTTACATGTTTCTGTTATGTTTCCATTTTGCTCCCAATTTTGAGGTAAATTGTGTTACAAATATTTTTTTTATATGAAGAAATATTGAAAGAGGTAAAACTTTGATGTGTCTTTTTCTTCTTTACAAAATCTTCAGAGTCCACAAATATTGAAGAAGAGGAAGTACGCAAGATGATTCATGAGTGCTTGAATTTACGTAAGAAATATGTTTACCGGGAAGAGGTTGCTCCTTGGAAGGCTAAGCCTTTGGCAAAGAACTCTGAACCATTTCACTTTGATCCAGTTGAACCATCATCAGTATGTTTGTTGCTTGTCCATTACGGTTCTGTGTTTGATGTTTTCTGCTGCAAGTTATATCTGTATGTGAAATAGTAAGTCATTTTTCTTCTGAGCGTTAGTTTGATGTCTTTATAACTGAATTTGTGTTGTTTCAAACAGCATCACTTTAGGATGGAAGATGGAGTTGTACATGTTTATGCAAGTAAAAATGGTAAGCGCTGAAACTGCTACTTGGTAGGCATCAAGGATCCTTTCTTTCCAAAAGGGGAATCTTTTAGGAGAAGGTCTAGGATTGGCTTTTATTTATATCTCTAAAATGTCTCTTCAAATGAAATGTTTTGAGCTTTGAGCATGGAGAACGCACAATCCCATCATATTCTGTTATGTAATATGATTTAATTTGGAGAATGCTCTGGCAAAAACAAAACTCTTAACATCTTGGTCGCAGTCCACAATGGCTTGAATGTCATGCAATGTGAAGCATATTCTGTTAGGAGAAAGTCCTATGATGGTTTTGATATACATCTAACAAATTTGCCTGTGATTAAAGAAGTTATTATTTTCTTCATTTACCATAGTACCATTTATTTTAATATTAGGTTATCCCAAAAGCTTATTATATTTGGAGAAAGTCCAAAAGTGGTGTTCACACAAACACACACACACCCAACACAACACAACTAGATTGCGGGCCTTGTGTTTACTTGGAGTATGAGATGAGCCACCCTGTTCGTGACTTGGCTATGATTAAAACAAGAATAATCTTTTTTGGTAGCCTGAGTATGATTTTTTTTTTAATATTGTGTTTATTTTATATCAGGAGAATTGAGCTTCCAATGAAACTGTTTTGCAGACTCTGAAGAGCTCTTCCCGGTTGCAAACTCAACAGAATTTTTTACTGATATGCATTATATTCTTAAAGTTATGGCTATTGGAAATGTTCGCTCTGCATGCTACCATAGGCTACGATTCCTTGAGGAAGTAAGTTTCTTTCTAACTTATTTTTATCTGGTTTCTGCTTTTTCCTGATTGTAACCTTCATCTGATCATTATGCAGAAATTCCGGCTTCATCTGTTACTGAATGCAGATGGGGAGTTTCTAGCACAAAAAAGTGCACCACACCGAGATTTTTACAACATCAGAAAAGTTGATACTCATATCCATCATTCTGCCTGCATGAATCAAAAGCATCTACTGCGCTTCATTAAGTCAAAGTTAAAAAAAGAACCTGATGAGGTGGAACCTATTATGAATTTATCTCTTAAATATATGTTTAGCTTCTTCTGATCCCCACTTTTTCATTTTTGCTATTCTAATTTTTAGATTGTTGGTGCTTCTTTATTACATTATTATCCTATGCTGACAGGTTGTAATATTTAGAGATGGAAAGTATATGACGCTGAAGGAGGTGTTTGAGAGCTTGGATTTGACAGGGTATGCAGTAGTGTAGTTCTGCTTAACTATCACTGCAATAGTCCTGCATATTTACGTGGGTGGTTGCATGTTTTCATGTCGTCTGAATAGTAGCAATTCATGTGCAGGTATGATCTGAATGTTGATTTGTTGGATGTTCATGCGGATAAGAGCACCTTCCATAGATTTGACAAGTTCAACCTAAAGTATAACCCTTGTGGACAAAGCAGACTTAGGGAAATATTCTTAAAGCAGGATAACCTTATCCAAGGTTTGTTTGAAAATTAAAAGTTACTAATAAATTACATGTTTACCCTTACAGCTTAATAACTCAATGAATCTTAGGGTTGTAAGTGGATGTCTTTTTCAATTCACAATGACTTAAGGCCACCCAAAATGCACAGGAAGGTTTTTGGCCGAAGTAACAAAGGAAGTTTTGTCAGACCTTGAAGCAAGCAAATATCAGGTTTCTTGTCTTTGTAGTAGCAGATTCTTCACTGCTGAGATTTCATATCTTGATTCATTTGTATTCATAAAATCTACAGATGGCTGAGTACAGGGTTTCTGTGTACGGAAGAAAGCAAAGTGAATGGGATCAATTGGCAAGTTGGTTTGTCAACAATTCTCTTTATAGTGAAAATGCAATATGGTTAATTCAGGTAATTTGTGATTCAGACTTCTATTCTTGCAGCATTGTTGTTTGAATGCATGGTGTGATGATAAGTTATTGGGCCCGGGATCTTTGTTTTGGTGGATTTTATTCAGGATCTCATGTAATCTTTTCCCTTGGGTCTTCTTTGAGCTCTGGGATTATTGCTTATTAACTATGCTCTTTTTCTAACCTTTCACCGGCCCAGTTACCACGACTTTACAATGTGTACAAGAATATGGGAACTGCTACCTCATTTCAGAATATTCTGGATAATGTGTTTATTCCTCTGTTTGAAGCCACAGTGGATCCGAATTCTCATCCTCAGTTACATTTATTCTTAATGCAGGTTAGTCAGTCTTTTACTTTGTGGCACATAAGCCCCTATGTGTTCTTGCATTTGTTCAATCACATGGTTACATTATTGAGTATTTAACATTTTATCTGATCTGCTTGTGTAACTATGTTTTAGCTACAGTACCTGGGACATCCTTAGGTTAATGCTTTGTCCTTGTTGCTGTATGAAACTTAGCTGTCGCTACTTAAGAGTGTCCCTATATTTCAATTCAAAGTAAATTTTTTGCTTTGCTGCAAGCTTCTTCTCGAGTAAGTATTCCTCATGCAGTGGCTCTTCATTGTAACAAAGGGGTGCCTGTAATGCTCATAGACTTCTCGTATTCCCTTAAGTTGTTAACAGTGGTTGAGCTCAAGATTGGGATCTGTCATCTGAGACCATTTGGACTCAAATTTGATTCTTTGTTCAACAATTTTATTTCTATTATGCTCTGTACCGTAGACTTCTTCTGTGAGATGATTAATCACTTTCAAGTCCTTTTTATTGCTGTCTTAATAAAAGATGTCTAAATGACTGTTTATTCTTCATATTGCTCCCTTCTTTTTTCTGCAACATGCCAAACATATTATATTGAGCTATTACCAAAATACAGGTGGTGGGATTTGATCTTGTAGATGATGAAAGTAAACCAGAAAGGCGACCAACTAAGCACATGCCAACCCCAGCTGAGTGGAAAAATGATTTTAATCCAGCTTATTCTTACTACCTTTATTACTGCTATGCAAACTTGTATACGCTAAACAAGGTCTCTAATATTTTTTCCTGCTTCAAGCCTTAACAAATCTAATGCATTTCTGTTTATCCACAAATTTAACTTCAATATATTTTTCTGTTGGTTCCAGTTGCGTGAGTCTAAAGGAATGACCACTATAAAATTGCGGCCTCATTGTGGAGAGGTTATCATTTATATCATTTTATTACAGTCTATCTTGTATGCTCGTTGTTGAAATGGGACTATTATAATTGTGCAGGCAGGTGATGTTGATCATTTGGCTGCTGCTTTCCTCCTCTGCCATAACATTTCCCATGGGATTAATCTGCGGAAAACTCCAGTTTTGCAGTACTTATATTACCTTGCGCAGGTTAGTCCTCAGAAAAATTCATTCTGCAAATATAGTGATGTGAGCCCTTCTTGCACGAGAGATATTGTTGATACACTGAATTTGAGATAGTAGTAATGGGAAACTCTTGCAACTTATGACATTCTGCTAATTTGTATTAATAACATCTTCAGATTGGATTATCAATGTCACCCCTGAGCAATAATTCTCTTTTCCTGGACTACCATCGCAATCCGATGCCCATGTTTTTCCAGAGAGGTCTCAATGTTTCTCTCTCCACTGATGATCCTTTGCAAATTCATTTGACCAAAGAGCCATTGCTAGAAGAATATAGTGTTGCAGCTAAGGTTTGCACCTGGCTAGTTGAAGCCTTTATCTTTGGATTGCTTGGCTGATAGAATTTCATCAAATATTGTGTTATGAACATCGTGTATTTTACAGGTATGGAAGCTCAGTGCCTGTGACTTGTGTGAGATAGCCAGAAATTCTGTCTATCAGTCTGGATTTTCACACGAAGCTAAGGTAAATGAGGTGACAACAGGGGTATGGCCATGTTTTAGTTCATGTGTCTGTGATGTAATACGCAGTTAAGCACACAAATTATTACATTGTAACTTGGTCTCTTTTCCCATGCGATGCACAAGATAGGTCATAACTTAAGTTTATGAAAACTTCTACTTATTTTTCTAATATTCAAACCCTGTTGAAATGTGTAAAATAAGATTGAAGGAATAAAAATAAAAATTGTACATAGTCCAATGAAAGGTGAGGAGGAAAATTGAAGGAATAAAAAATCCCCATGAAGTACGAGAGAGGCTGTACTTTTTATAACTTGCCAATAATAATGCAGCTCACTTTAGATTTTATATTTTGTATTAATGATTTCATTTCCTGAACCTGAAATTATGTATGGATGTGTATTGCTCCTTGGTGGTTCAATACTGTATTCTGTATAACGGTAGTTAATGGGATACCACATGATTCGTGGCACGGGTCCAGAGTTTTGTTGTTCTGTACCCGTTCACTGATTGCAAATTTTCAAATGGGGCGCAGTGGCAAGCACCTCATGCATCGGTGTAAATAAGGCCAAATTAATCCTATTACATGTATATGTTACGTAGTTTGCTGATTAGCAATTGAATTGCTGAATACCAGTCCTATATTGAAGCCCATTTCTCACCAGAAAAAGTTGATCAACTTGGCCATTACGGTTTTTCTGGAGGACATGCTCCTTTAAAGTCTTGTTTATAGTTCCTGCTTCTTGAATATTCTGATTTGGTTTTGTAGTGACATCATTTTCATAATTTTTCTTGCCTTCACAGGCGCACTGGCTTGGGGATAAATATTTCTTGAGAGGTTCTGAAGGAAATGATATTCATAAGACGAATGTTCCCAGCTCGAGAATCTCTTTCCGAGATCAGGTAGTAAATTGTAACAACCATGTGCGTGTGCGTGGATAATGCATTCAGATCGATATTTATCTTTTCTCGCTAATGATCTTGGGGTTTTGCAGACATGGAAGGAGGAAATGCAATATATTTATGATGGCGAAGCCACCTTTCCGGAAGATCTAGACCCATGAAGATAAATCAGATGACTCTGGATTGATCGCCATTTCTTTGGTGATTGGGGTTATAGCTCTCCCTGCAGCTTCATTTCACATAACTTATACGAAGCTGCTTCAGCTATCACTTGTGATTTCAACCTCAAGAGAGTCAAATTATCCTGACAGAGTTTTCAACAAGCTTGCCAGCATCATTTCCAATTGGCTTGAGGATGGCAGAATAATATGAACTAGCTTTTGTCATTAGCTATTAATCAGTAGTGTCTTCATGCTGTGCTATACTGTGTACTATACATGACTCTTTGCAAATTGCTCGCGGCTCAATCAGGTTCTCGGGACCCAGATTGAAGCACAATGTATGGCGACTTACTGGAATCCCTTGCCTTGCCAGTTTCATTTCACAAAAAGGTGCTTCATTTTGACTTTGGAGCGCTGTTTTGAGAATTGAATGGTTGTATTATTGACCGAAGCTGTTAATAGTTTAGTTTTGGATAAAAAAAGTTTTCATGATTGAATTGGGGTTGAGCCACTTTTGATCTTGAAACTGGAGTTGTAGCAGAAATTGTAATGGTTTTTAAAAAACTTTGACTGTTCGAAATTAAACTACAATTGTAAATGCAATATTCATCTATATTTAACAAATTATAAAATCATAATTTATAATATTGTTGATTTGTGGTCATGTATTTTTGTTAGAAGTTATACATGTTGCATGTTTATTTGTTATACATATTGCAGATTTATTTCTTTTATATTTATACATATAATATGCATTTAATGTTATTTTTTATTTAATTATTATGTCACTGGTTAATTGGTTAGACTATAAAAATTTAGACACATTGATTTGTCTGGTTTAACATCTGGTTTGATTTTTAAAGCATTACTTTGAAGTTTCATCCTTGATTTAGCTCTTATAAAGTTTTAGGTTGCCTTTTCCACTTTATAAAATTTCTTAAAATAAAATGTGAAAAAGCTAATTCAATTATTTTCTGACTAGATGAGTAAATAAGAAAGATAACCAATAATAACAAAAAATATGAAAAAGTTTTATTTCAATATAAATATAAACAAAATTAAAAAATTAAAATGAGTAAAGACAAGATGTAAAAATATCATTTAAAAAGTTAATAAATATTCACGGTTGATCAGAAAATAAAGATGGAATAATTATGAAATATAAGTGTTGGAAATATTGAGCCTATTTGACAATCTAATTTGAGAATAATTTTTTGTTCTCCAAAACAAAACAACAACAAAAAACTATTTGATAATGTATTTTAAAAAAGTATTTTGAAGAATAAAAAATAAAATATTATTTTAGAAAATAGAAAAATAAAAACATCTTTTAGATATTTTAAGATTATTGTTCTAAAAAACAAAGGATAATGAGAAAAACACATTTTTTTCATTACTTTTTTGTTTTTAAAACTTGTTCTACATAAAATATCAATTCTTAAAACAATAAAATAAAAATAATTTTAAACATGCCTATTGTTTTCTCTTATCGTGAAGTGCAATCCACACAAATAAATAGGGGAACTTGGGGTTCTTTACAACATTTTTTTTCCAAGTGAAAGCATAAAATATGACACAAGTATTGTAATAATGAAAATGAAAGGGAAAACATAATTTTGGGCCATTGTACTTTACTCAAGTTTTATTATGGGTCCCTACATTTCTTTTTTAATGTTTGATGTTTTAGGTCTGTATAACACAACTCATGGAGGGACTAAGAATACCAAAAAATAAAAGTGTAAGAATTTAAAATATTAAAAAAAGTGTAAGAACTTATAGCAAAATTCAAATAAAGTATATGGATTCAAAATTATGTTTTTTTTTCAAAATAAAATTATGTTAAATAAAAAGTAGAATTACAATGTAGGATTTGGGTTAATGCATTGGAGGACATGATAATAAACATGCAAGTGAAGTGTATGAAAATAAGTATGTGATAGATTGATAAAGGTAAATAATATTATGAATGCAAGGTTTAAGATCCAATGCTAGGAGTCTTGATTTGTTAGAAATTATTATTGGATGGGTTGATAGTTGAGAGGCATTGATGTGATTTTGGTAAGAGTTATCTCATCTATTTATGGAAAAGTCAAGATAACTCTCTTCCTTCATGATGTGCCCGTCCCTTAGGAAACCACCTTTCTACTAAAAACCACACTCACTCTCACATTTTTAGCAACATGGTTCGAGCATGAAGCTGATAGCCTTAATTTGTGCTTGATAGAGCCAGTAAAATAAGTTAGGTTTGATGGGCCAATTTGCTAACCCATTAAAATGTGATGGATTTGGTTGAAAAAAATTCTAAGGAAAATGATAATTAGAAGCCTTATAAAAATATTAATTACAATTATAGAATTTAAATTATTAAAATTCTAATAATAACTATGGTCCTTACTTGCAATAAAAAATTGCGAATAGTGAAGTGATAAATTAACGAAATACATTTAAGATTATTTGTAATGTCAGTTGAAAATTTACGAAAATAAATTGTAATTCTCATTTTTTTCCTATCAATATACAGGTAAACCAAGCCAATTGGAAAAATCAATAAAATACACTTGAGATTACTTATAATACTAGTTAAAAATTTATGAAAGTTAGTTGTAAATCACGAGTTAATCATTGATAATTTTTTATAAATCATTTGAAAAATCTACAAAATACGTTTGAAATTATTTGTAATGTTAGTTGAGAATTTATGAGAGATAATTATAAATCGCAAGGCAATTACTTGTAATTTTTTACCATCAATATATAGATAAATTATTTAAAAAATTAACAAAAAATACTTAGAATCTTTGTAGTATTAGTTGAGAATTTACAAAAGTCAACTATAAATCTCAAAACAATCAACAAAAAGTACTTTATTGTTAGTAAGGATTATAGTCTATTATTAATATTTCAATAATTCAAAATTTTTAATTATAATTAATGTTCTTATGGAGTTTCTAATTGTTATTTCTCCAAATTCTAACCCATTTAAAAGGTGGGTAATGTAGCCCTTCATTTAACTCACGCTTATAATAAGCTAACTCACTAAATCACAAGTTGACCCACTTTTTTGGTCCAAAAAAAAGTTGACATACTTTTTTTTTAACAATTTTGTTTTTCTTTATTGTTTTAATTTTAATGAATAAGGAGTTTTTATTCCTTCTTTTAACTATGGTCTTTTGTTCTATATTAGAAACTTGATTCCATGTTTAATTTTTCATTTTCTTTATTGATAGAAAAATGGATAAAGGTGCAAATTTAGTTATGAATTATTTTTTGAGAAGCATTTGATATCCTATACTATGAGATGGTGAAAAATAAATCATCAACTATTTTTAAACAAAGTGCCTATATCTTTCTTAAATTGAAAGAAACAGATGGTTATTTAGTATATGGGAGCCACTCAAATTTCACACATGGCACACCAACCCCTAAAACATGTTCTTCTATCTCCTCTTTCACTCCTTTACTCTCACTCTTAGATCTTATTGTGTCTCCAGTAATGGCATTTCCCTACTTGCTCACCATATATATCTTCTTCTTCACCATGCTCCATTTCCACAACTCACAGAGTACCTCATAAAATTACCTCAAGCTTCCTTTTCTCTACAAGAACTCTGTCATACTAGATCAAGAAGCACAATAACTAGTCTTCTATTACATCATCTTCATCTTCATGGTGGCTTCTATGCTGGAAAAACTGTACTTCTTGTTCAAGTTCATCAATAGAAGCAAGCAAGGAAGGTGGCCTTAAGAAGCTTAGTAGATCATAAGCTTCGAAGAAGCCTAAAGCATGGAAGGCCATGACTTTTACTCTGGGTCCTTAATGATATGTCCACAAACAAATCTTATGGTTATGGGGACCACTTACAAGGTACCCTTGCTTGAAGTGGCTCCAAGACAAACCATATCCCTCTTTGTCATGACCCTTCAATCTCAAATCAAGGTCACAACCAAGTGCTTGCTTCTTCCCGAGTTGTTTGGTAGAATCAGACACATGAACCTTAGAGCTACTAGTTTTGGCACCAATAACATTTGGGTTTTGTGGCATGCACATATGGATAGAGGGAGAGAGGAAGATGAAGATGAGAAACGTGTTTGCAATTTAGAATGGGCCCATAATTCATAATAAAGTAATAGATGTTTGTTAAAAATTAACAAGGGTGTTAAGCATGTCATTTTAAATAGTTGATTTATTTTGTACCACCCTATGTTATAGGATATTAGATGCTATTTGAAAAATAGAAAATAGTTCATGGTTAAATTTGCACATTTATCTAAAATAATTATATAAAAATATTATATGTTTATATTTGCAAGTTTTAAGATTAAATAATCATATAACTTCATAAAAAAATACATAAATCACTTGAATTTAATCTATAAAAGCTTGTAATTTAATTTGAATATTTTTAAAAAATATTTAGAAATGCCAAAAAAATATAGAGCGAGTTGGTGAGTGGCTTACAACTCACTTATAGCAAGTTAGGTTGGAATTTTTTTTTAACACACTAAGAGGTGAGTTGGTTTCAACCTACCTTGCTAACTTGCAATTTGGTCTTTTTAAGTTAGAGTTGCAACTCTAGGAAGAATATCTAAAATTGGTAGCACAAAAGGAGCTCATATGGTTTCAAAAATATCGATGTAAGTGGCTTAAATGGGGTGACAATAGTACTAGATTCTTCCATGCTTCTATTGTCATCAAGAGAAAACAATAGAGGATTACCTTTCTACAAGATAGCAATTGCAAACGTATTACTAATGAACCTTCTCTCTAGACCATAACTAGTCAATTTTACACTAATATCTACTCTTTTGACCTAGACGTTAACCCACACCTTGATTTGCTTTCTCTCTTCCCCTCACTTTCACTTGCCACTCTCCTTTAGATGTAATGTGTTGTGGACGATGTGGAGATTAAAAATGCATCCTTTTCTTTAGGGGTGTTTATAACATCTTAAATTTTAATCCCTAAATTAAGTTAAATTAATAAGGGTAATTAGGAGTATTAAACAAAATAAGAATGGAATAGGAGTAATGTGGAGCAAATTTTAAGTTTAAGAGTAATTTTAAGGGAGAATTTAAGTTTTTATCCATAACCATTTACGGTTGTGACCTAATAGGAGACTACCTTCCGCGGTTGAGCATCCTCACTCTTTGTTCACAATCATTTGTAGTTGAGTTCTTCATTTGAGATAACTACTTGACGTCATAGACAAAGGGGACAAATATGGAATAGTGGCTTTAACTGTGATTGGTTATGAATTATAATGTGAATGACTGTCTATGGACAAAATGTTAGAATCACGATTTAAGCAGCAGAAGCAGAGAGAAATAGAAAGAGGGATGAAGGATCAATATAAAGCTTTGCTAGGGCTTGTATTTTTTAGTGATTCAAGGCATATTTGGGCTAGATATCACTTGGGGTAAGTTCCTCTATCCTTCCTCTTCTATTCTATCTCTAATTTTGAGGTTAGGGTTTATAGTTTTTCCTTAAATCTAAACCTTTGGTCGATTTTTTAGCTTTGGGAGGTTTATGGCCGAATTAATAGAATTACATGAAATTGTTTGAAGTTAGTTTTTGCTCCTAGAATTATGGATATTGGTGGTTTGGTTATTAAATCTAAATTTTATGTGATTTAAACAAACCCTTTGTCTTTGAAGAATGATCTTGGAGTTTTGGGTATTATATTAGCTATTATTTAAACTATTGAGAGCTAAATGAAGTTAATGAGATTTAGTAAACTAGTTGGATGTGAGAATTAGCTTATGGTTAAAAATTTTGGTTAACAGGTATGAGTTTAAGAGATTGAAAAATAAAGTTTATGTTATTTATAATGATGGTTAATGTTAATTGTAAACTAACATCGTGTTTACCCTTCCTCTTCTCAGAGTTTACCCCTAGATGTCCCTAGTAGGGGTGGAGAGTAGGACTCTTTCCAGTCCATTTACTCAGGTGGGGGCACGCTGGAGTAAGCCTTCCTAATGATCGAATTCCTAAGAGTTTGGTATAATGCATACTTCTAAGGTTTGATCCTATAACCTCTTTTACTTAGTAAAGAAGTGGGCTAAGATATCAGTACAAATACATGTTTGGATGTTTTGATTTGATGTGATGTATAGATGTTAGCCTTGTAATATGTCTTTTTTAACTGTGATTTGCAGGTGTGGCTGAGATGGAACCTTAAGCACAATCCAAGAAGGTCAAGAGTTGGCAGCTGGCAATGGTTCCAAACCTTTAGCCATATTTGTTGGCTACTATGGACCCAAAGGTGTAGGCACATTTTTGAAGCAAGAGTGAAAACCTTAAAGAAGTCATCTATTGCTGTATGCACAGATTGATGGATAGTGGTGCCAACGACAAGGTCAACCACAAAATCTTCCCTATGTTTACATTTTCTGCAAACAACTGGACCCCACCCCCTTTAGGTATTTTGAGGATCGATGTTAATGGGTCTATCAGAGGTTATCTTGAAGAGGCACGCGAGAGCCTCATTTGCAATGATAAAGGAGATGGATTCTTGGTTCCAAAAAAACCTAGGCTCCTATTCTACAATTGCAGCTGAAGTCCTTGCTATCAAGATTGTACTCTAAGTTGTTAAACTATATAATTCAAAAAAAAAAATCTAACTATATACTGATCCACTAAAAGCTTTCAACTGTTTATAGAAAAAATATGGCCCTGACCACCCTTTAAGTGTTGAGACTAGAGAATTAATCTTTCATGGTTGGAAACTTGAGATTTTTCACAATACCTGAGAAGTCCTATGGTGTGTGGATACTCTTGCTAAAGAAGAACATGCTGGTCCCTTTGAAACAATTGTCCTATCCAAAAATACCTGCTAGTTGCGTTGGTTATGCTTAGGATGATATGCAACAGTTTTTGATGCCTAGGCCTCTCTTAGTCTTATTGTGTAAACTTGTACTTCTCAAGTCCTGGCTTGCCCCTTTATTTAAATTTTTTTTTTAAAAAAAGCTTACAGGTTGGCCCACTATTACCACCTCTAATAGTTTGGCTTCATCCTTTCTTTTAAAATATTTACAAATGCAATTAATATTAATTATAGCATTTTAAGGCCTTTTAATTTAGAATGGGTGTGGACACTCTGTAACTCAAAAATCACAATTACGATGCAAGCAATGAGATGAATACCCTGTGTGTACATATTCTATAACGTTTTAAATAATTGTTTGATTGATTCAAGTTTGAAGGGCTTGCGTAACCGTGTCCGGGTTCTATTGGATCCAAATGATGCAAAAACCGACCACTGCGGCCCAGGGCCCACTTAGGTTCATCCAGACATCAGAACACTGGGAATGGGAATGGGATGATCTCTGCCAAAACTCGCTATTATATTAATAACACTCCGACTACACAACACGCAGTATCTCCTCTCCTCAAGCTTCGCGCACTCACCTCCCCTACCCCTTCCTCGCCGCTCGCCTTCTTTTGCCGCTGTCCAAAGCCTTCCCAGTCTTCCTCTCTTTTCCTTTTCTTCTCTTGTGCCCACCGCCGAGGCACCTGCTGGTGCTCTTCGGATTAACCCAAACCAGGCGAAAGGAGTTTTTGCGCTGCTAATGGCGGCTACTGCAGCCTCTGACATTGCCGACGGCCCTGTCCTCAGTTTAGTCAACAAGCGCATCCGTGGGCTCCGCAAGAAAATGAATCGTATTCTTCAGATGGAGGAGTCTATTGCTCAGGGTAAAACAATCAACAAAGAGCAGGAGGAAGTCCTTCGCTCTAAGCCTGCAGTGTCCGCACTCATCGACGAGCTCGAGAAGCTTCGTCAACCCCTTTTGTCTGCTGTCAAGGAAGAAGTTGACCTAGCCCTTCAGAACCATCGTATCTCTCCCGACAAACAACCCCAGAAAGCCGACGACTTTAACCACACTGTGGTCGAAGATCTTCTCAATCTTCTTTATTTTGGGTCATTGTTCGACGTGAAGTCGCAGAATGATTTCACTTCGACGATGCTGACGAGGACCCATGAGCGAGGCTGTTGCTTAACCTACGATTATGTCACCGACGACGCAACTGATCTTCTCGGAGAGAAAGACTTGGATGTAATTTCTAGGCTGGGCGGTCTGTTGATATCGCGGCCTGCGGATTCAAGTTTATCTCACAAGAACGCGTTGCAGCGGTGCATAGAGCATGCGAAGCTATGGCTTGCGAAGGCCGACCAGCCCATTGAGTCGAATGCTGATGTCACATGTATCTTCCTTTTCCCAAGTTTAATTTCTTTTGAATTTGCTAATTTCTCTTCCTCTTCAATTTGGCTGTGTCATGTTGATTCTAAGTTTATTTCCAGATGTGGGTTTGAGGGAGAGGTTAAATAAGATTATGTCTTCAGAATACTTCACCACTACGCCCGAGATGAAAGCTACAGTTGAAGTCGCAGCAGCAGCTGCTGGAAATTATGCCTCTTTCCAGGTGCCAGTACACGGTACCATTGTTCCTGCCTCAGTTCCACTCGAGGTGGAAAGTTCAGTTTCGCCATCTCAAGAAAAGGTATATCTGCAGACCCAGTAAATTTATATTAATTGATTTGGATATGATCCATCTTTAATTCATGGTTCTTATCCTCCAATAGTTAATTGTAAATGTAGAATTTTTGGATTGCATGGTATGGGTGGCTTCAACTTTCAATATAGTGTTGTTCTTTTGGCCATTTGGTCGGTATTTGTCTGCACACGACCATTAATGCGGCAATAGCTATCTAGAACCTGCATTGCTTTGTCTGGTGCAATGAATTGTTGTTTGAGTATTCACTCTTTATTCAAGTATCATTCTAATAGAAATTTAAAAGTGGAAAGGGAAGGATGGGAGAAGAGTATTTACCGTTTGTGCTGTTTCTTTGCCTTTTTCCATTCTTCAGTTGCATATATAATATAACGTAGTGTGAACTTCAGTGGGTAAGGAACACAATTAACCTCTCACTTTAATATCAGGACCAGAGATTACGAGAAATGCAAATAAACAATCAATGCATGTCTTTCTATCGAGCATATTGTTATGACTCGCGCTATACTTCCCTCTTATGACCATAAAAGAGATGATCTCAAGTTTTTTATTTATATAATTCATTGATGTTGGTGACCCTTGACAAAATTCAATAAAGTTGTTCTTTCCCTCTATAATTGTTGATAATGGGCTTATGATATTTTGCTCCCACTGCTTAGTTCTTGCAGACTGTTTGATTTAGGCATGACTATTATCTGGTTTGAATTTCAGTCTTCATTGGACATGCATATTCCTAGAATTAGCATTTTGTAGAAAAATATTTATCAGCATTGTAATTATATTGGTAATTTAAATGGCAAAAACTCTGCTTGAGCATGTTATGTTTTGAAGAGTAGGAAATATGATGCGTATTGAATACTTTTTATGTATTAGATATGAATGCAAGTGTTGTTCTAGCATGGGACTTGCAGTAGATCATTTGTGCAATGCCATTCTCTTCAATGGGAGATTTGAAATCCCTCAATAATTCTTGTATCTCTGGCTTCTGTTTTTGTTTCCATTTTTTTCTAAAATAGATGGCTGTGGTATAATGTATGCGCTGGGTTATGGACACAGTTGAGCTGATGTTTATTTGGATTGATCTACCCATCCTTATCACCAGTTGTCACCTGTAGCCTTTAGTGACTCTCATTACTTAGTTTAATTCTGTGTCATAAGATAAGTTCCTTGTTATCACGTTTATATCACTGGGATTCATCAAAAAGGATGATTGCGCATAGTGCAGAAAATCCCATCCTTGCTTGTTTTGAACTATGACTGTTCCATTTTCTGGTCCCTCTGCCCCTATAGGTAAGATATTACCTGCTGCCTTTTAACAAACTTTCTTCATTGGAGGTAAGCTTGTACATTCCTCCTTAAAATATAATGCGAGAGCTGTTTTTCTGGATGACTGGGACAAATGATTCTTAGTTGCTTAACTACCTCTTTTAAATATATGCATTGGCAGTGAATAATTGAAAAGATGGGATGTTATTAATTGCTAAAACTGAGATAAAACAGCCTTTTTCTTTGATGTTTGTGCTTGAAGTAAGGTTTGATGAGAAGAGAAGTTTACCATGTTGCTAGAATCGCTTAATAAAACAAAAATGCACAGCTGCTGCTGGGTTGCTGCAGAGAAATGGGGGTGGTGTGTGCGTGCGTTTTTTTTTTCTTTCTTTTGGGGTGGGGGGTGATAATGAGTTTCAGTTCACGGTTCTTCTTGTTTTTTTTTTTTGGGGACTGTGTGTCTCTTCAAAAGGATTAAAATGCTCAAGTTAAAGAATCTTAGTTTTGTTTTTTTATTTCTTGGTTGGGTCGTATCACTTCTCCTCTGCTATAGTATCATTCTCTCGTTGAATTCTGCTTGTGTGCCAGTTCAATGCTGCAGCCAAAGGGCCAAGTTAATTAATCAAATGGTTGATACCATACAACCCATATTTCTTCCATATGGATGGTTAAATGTCCCCAAAAAGTTTATTGACCCTTGCACAAGTAATTTAGGTGATATATATCTATCTTCCCTGTATTATGTTTCTCTAATCCAATCAAAGCTGAAGTCTTTTCAAATAACTTTTTATTCTATTTTACACTTCACTTGGTCAGACTATTTCCTGCATCATAACTGCTTTAGTCTTCATCGGAAACACCTTCAAATGTAGTTTGAAATAATCATAATTTGGAAAGGTGGTAACTGGTAAGTGCAGCTGAAAGTGCAAGTGGAATTGCCGCACCCCCAAACGCTTCTTTTGTCCTTTTTCATGTTGCCATTAGGGCCGGCTTAAGTGACAAGGATGGGGAGAGGCATGAGTGGTGGTCGAGGTTCAGCTCCTGATGCAACTCCCCTCCCCCAAAAAAAGTAAATTATTTGATGCAATTGTGTAAAATTTACTTATTTTTGAGTTGTTTTGGTAGCATAGAGCCCTGGACAGACAAATATCAGTGCTAATTACCACACCCAATACTTTTAGCATGTGTGGTATGTACCATATCTTCAGAGATGACTTCCTTACACACTCTTCCATGATTTTGAGTTCCAGACTCTAATTGAGGGTGCAATTGAGCCAGGCCAAATTGAGCACTTAGATTTCATTGTTTGGGAAAAGGATGGTTTCGACCTTGATCTATGTAAACAATTGAGCCAAGTTCAAAATGTTAGCTTGTAGGTTTGAAAGGGGCTTTGTTTAGCATTAGTTTTGGACCAAATAACGAGTTTAGGTTTTTGAAGAAACATCATTCAATTATCAAGCCTTGACAAATTTACCCAATTGCAACTACCAAAACTGCTGCCATGTGGCTATTTTAATTAGCTATATAATGAATGAATATAATTACAAAAAGCGGTGAGGTGCAGTTAAACTAGTACCATAACTAAAGTCACCAGGCTACTTGCACCTGACATAGGATGCCTTGGGTGGTCTCAAACAGTGCCAGAAAGCCAAAATTAAGCTTACATCAAGGATGATATATAAAGTTCAAATTCATGCAATCATTCAATTGTAAAATTAGACTTTTCTCATACCAAAGTAATGTGTTCATGTGGTAGGGATAGTCAAACAATTGAGCCTAATTCCAAACTTAAGTTTGTTTAACTTGCAAGCTGTGCTATAGCAGCTTGTGGATGCCTATGATCTATTTCCAGGGCCCCAGTCCTTGACTGCAGTTTTTAGCTAGTGATTATTTGATGATGGATTCAATGGAGTCATATCTTCTGTTTTTTCTTTTGATGATATGTTCATTTCCATGCATAGTTTTCTTTTGGTAAGAGGCAACAGCATTGTTGGTTACTGGGCATATTGGCAAGGGTAAATCTGAATACTGATTATATAGATCTTCCTTGGACCAAAAAAACATCTTCAATCAAGAAAATTAGAGTTTTCTTTTATTTTACTCTTTGAATATTGGGTTTTCCTATAAATAAGTCCTTGATTTTCATTGGACTGAGAGGTGCATTTATTCGGCAAGGGATTCATTTCACGGTTCTAATAAGTCCTTGATTTTTATTTATTTATTTATTTTGTTTTCTTGTTTTTTGAAAACTTCTTTTGGCTTGAACTCTACAAGTCAAGCTCCCTTGTCCCCTATCTTCAATGATACTGGCAAAAAAAATTACAGATTTTTAGGATTTTTACTTATCAGTCCCATGCGTTTTTGGCAGGATGAAAGGGTAACGAATTTTCACGGACATGAATCTGAAGACCTTCAATCTGATCTTGAAGAGGAACTTCAGAAGGTGCTCTTAACAGTTTTCCTAGACAGCTAGTTGATGTAGAAATTGTGATTTGGTCTGTGTCATCTGATGTTTCGAGGTGTTGCTTTGCAGGATGAAGTAGAAGAAGAAAATGTAGCTGAAGAGGTCTCAGTTCAACAAGATGTTAAGCCACAGGTAGATGCAGAGCGTAACCAGAGAGAGACTGAGGCGAAGGAACAACAGTATTTCCCCAGGAGAGGGGGTTACCAGAACCAAAGAGGTGGCCGGGGGGTTGGAGGTGGCCGGAGGGGTTATTCAAATGGACGTGGAGGCCGGGGTGGCGGGAGAGGAGGTGGCTATTACAATGGCCGTAACCAATACTATGACCAGTCTGGTAATTATTATCCCAGAAACTATTATAACAACAGAGGAAGAGGTGGCAGAGGTGGTGGTGGGCACCTCTATGAAAACCATGGTTCAGGTGGTCAAGCTAATCATGTAGCTGATGTTGGGGTTCGATCTTGATTAATCGTGTGAGGTGTTCATAGCGTTCTTAACTGTCTGTAGCAGGTCTGTTTTTGTTATATTTGTCTGGCATGAATAGAACTTTCTTTTGAACTATTTTGTTGACAGAATTCAGCATCCCAGACTCCATTTTGTAGTCCATTAATGAACATTTGTGAGAAGTGTTACAGGAAGAAATTACCTGCGAACATCTGATGTTTATGGAGCTTAGCTTAGGCTTTCTACTTTGCCCCCGTCGACATCTAGGGCCTGTTGATAAGCAGCTTCCGTTTCAGATGTGTGCTTCTGACCATTTAATTATCAGATTTCGAATTTGTATTAGAAGAATGAGATGCCATAGTCTCAGGTTCGAACTCACTAAAGTAAAAATAGAACCAAACCCAGATTTCTTACATACAGTTATTTGCAGCTGTATCATCTATCGTGAGCCGCTTGCTCTTTTCTCATCTTCAACGAACCTTGAATTACTTTAAGTCCATCATTAAAATTGTTGAGTTTCAAAGGTGACAAATGACAGCTTGTACTCTGTCTTGTATCATCATTTTCACCGAGTATTATTGTGCGTTGTATGCGACCATTTATTTGATTTAAACAAAGGTGAGAGTGACCCGTTGTGGCGGGTAAAACAAAAATCACGTAGTTGACTTTTAATTTGTTTAATCTTTTTATGTAGACTTGAGTGAGGAATATTTGTCAAAGCTAGAAGATTCCCGGGAAAAATGTAATTTTTGGATCACTGTAATCTTATGAACTAAAATATGTTTGGAATTCTTGTGGCCCTGTTCACATCTAGGAGTTATGCATAGTATGGGTATTTTATTCTATTCCATGGATGTATGGCAGCTCAAATGGGAGCTGGAAGGATGTGAATATCTGTTTATTTTGTCTTGGTGAAGTTAAGGATTTGGGACCATTCACCATCGTTTCCTTTTGTATTTTACTTGTTTTGCCTTCTTTTCCCTTTATTCTTGGACAATATTTTTCTCCAATGTGGAATACACACCGTTATCATAAAGCAGATGCCGTTTCAGCCGAATCCAATTTGTTCACAAGCTTATTACTTAATTTAGCCTCTAAAAACCACGAGCTCATAAAATAAGAGAAGGCTCAGATGCTTGGGCAAGGTTATTATGAACCCCTCCTTTTATGCTCTTCAGCCTTTTTTTTTGGTTTCGCCTCTTATATAATGTTGTGCTTTTGGTTCTGGGATAAAAAGACGTAAAATCAGCCCCACCACTGAGCCACAAAGCACCCATGAAGTTTCTCACCCTCATCCTACCGTATGCATTATACACTGCTCAGTACTTTAAAAGGCCTATTGGGAGCAAAATTGAATATGAATCTGAAATATAAGAAAACTCCCCCATACTGAAAATGATTGAGATTAATATATACATATAGCAGATACGCATGTTACCAAATATATGCGTAAATTAGCTCAGAGGGTCTATTTTACAGCTTGCCACCTACAAGAATCTGATGCTATCCAATGAAAAAAAAATGGCAGCCTCCCTTACAGTTTTATGAGTCCTATATATATGGCTTTCCAACCAGCAAGACATATCCAAACCAGTTGCGTACGAAGAAACACAGATTTTACAACCTTAATTCTCGTACAGCCTCTGATTTTGGATCATCAGACCTTTCTCAGGAGAAGAAAGCGGCATGAGAACCAACGTTTTGGACATGGGGTTTCTCAGCAGATCCTCAGAGTCGTCATCAAACATCCTTAGCTTCCATTCCACTGCTAAATGGAATGCTCACTTTAATGCCTCCAAAGAAACCGACAAGCTGGTGTGTTGTCTGATAGCTATACTCTTCAAAATCAGTAACGTTATTAACTATGTTTGGACTTCATGATGATTGGTTCTCACGAGATATTTGTTGTTTGCCAAAGATGGTGATTGATTTCAACGCTACATGGTGTGGCCCCTGCAAATTCATGGACTCAGTAATCCAAGAGTATGCTGCAAAATACACAGATGTGGAGTTTATCAAGATTGATGTGGATGAGTTAATGGTACTACAGTTTATGTTACTATAATTTCTTTTCATTAACAAATGATATTCACCACTACCTGTGATTAATTCTTCACCAAACCTACCTAGGCTAAAAAAAATTAATAGACTAAAGCAGTAGGAATAGATATACAAGCATGTCAAAATACTAATCAATGGGACCACTTCTAACATGCTTATATTGGTATGATTTACATGTTAGTGTTGTAGACTAGGTCTATGCAACTGAAGAAAAATTCTGGATCGTACAATTAATTGATTATCTGAATTCCATATATAAATGGAAACAGGAGGTGTCTCAAGTATTCCAAGTTCAGACATTGCCAGCATTCATATTGATAAAGAAAGGCCAGGTTGCTGAAAGAGTGACGGGAGCAAGAAAGGAGGAGCTTCAAAAGAACCACAGGAGAGTAATTGTATGATCATACCTTGAAATGAGGTCGCAAGGCTTTCCAATATATTCCTGCCCTGACCATTGACGATGGAACAAGACCAGCAACCTAAGATAACTAAATAAGTTGGTTTCGTTGTTTGTTTTATTGCTTACAATGTGTCGGTTCCGATATTTAATTATATATTGCATAAATGGGCACCGATGCACCTGGCCCTATTTTTATATATTATACCACACGCTCATTGGATTCTTTAGATCAGTGATGTTGATATGTTCCTCCCCCTATCCCTCAAAACACCCCCCCAATAAAAAAAAAAAAAGAAAAAAAGGAAAGGAAAAAAAAGAAGAATAAACATCCAGAAAAGAATATCATTAAAAGGCAACATCATCCCGACAGGTCAATGAAGCGAAACCAGTATGCACAGATTCTCCCCATCTTTGATTATTTAATACATTTCTTTAATTTCTCCAGAACGGCCGATGAGAAACTAATAATAATATATTATATTGATAAGAACAAAACTTGAGTCTCGAAGAAGCAAACACTAATTCCACAAGCAATAACATGCTGCGGAAAAGGTAGCATACATGCTTGGTTTATTTGTTCTATGCACAACTTTCATATCTAACTGTGGAATTACATATTTACAGTGTTAACTGACCTTTCATGCCACTCAGTGTTAACGGAGAGACACAACCATTAGAAAACAGACTGAAATTAGTTATCGGCGTCACTCAGAATCCTTTTCACTTCATACTTTTGTTGTATGGTCAGCCTTGAAGGAAACATGACATCAAACTTAATTCTTAGGTTCCCCTTCTTGCCTGGTTCCTTTGAAATGGGCATCCCTTCATTTTGGACCACCAGCTCGTAGCCTGGTTCAACAATATCCTTCACTTGAATCGTAAGGTCTCTTCCATCCAATGTTTTCAGATTCAGAGTCTTTCCAACGAGAGCCTCGATAAGTAATATCTTCTGGATGATCACCAAATCATTTCCTTCCCTCGTGAAAAAAGCATGAGGTTTCTCATCGACGACGAAGATTAGATCTGCTGGTTCACTTCCTGGTTCTTGGTGGCCTTTCCCAGGAAAAGTTATTTTTGTGCCCTTCTTCCAGCCAGGTTTTATATAAATCTTTAAGATTTCTTCAACCGTGTTTAGCTTGCTGCAAAAAAAAAAAAAAAAATCGGGATACCTTGTAAAGCCTCTTTACAAGAGTAGAAAAGGAAACAGACGATAGCGCAAGTGTTACGGGCGCATCTACATATGCATGTAGAGGGAAAGAATGAACTTAAGATTCAGTGGTTTTAGATTTGCCATTATGATGTGGAAGAACTCTTATTGAAACAGTCAAACAGTTGATAGTATGCTGAATTCTACTTTATGTTCTTACCGAAAAATCTTGTAATACATACCAAAGGAAGTTGTCCTCATTTTCATACAGAGTTGATTCAGATAATCAGTTCGGTTGGTAAATATCTAAATATGCCTGAAACTCAAGTGAAGGATCTGGAGATTATTATAAGCCAGAAAAAAAATTCATGCAACTTTGACTTCATTTGTTACGCTAAACAGACACATCAGGAGGGCCAGGCCAACGGACTAACACAAATCCCTAAGGCAATTAGGTTACTTAAAGACCTTCCTCTCTCCACATGTCGATTCACGTGTATGCATGCAAATATGAACAAGTGTGCGTGATCAGTGCCAATTCAGCATCTCTGGTTGTGATTCGTTTTTTTATGATGTTAGTGTAAGGCCAAAAACGAAAAACGCCAAAACAGCATCTTGGGAGCGTAGCAGTGATATTTAAAAAACGTCGGCAAGGAACTAGAATGGAATAAATTTAATTATCCTAGAGTTATTAGCTGTAATCATGATTACAAGACAATTTTTTTTTTTTGGGGGGGAAACCGAACTTTAGACACAGAGAAGGATCATGAAGTAAAAAAAACACGGCGTGATTCAATTTTAGCAGTTTAATTTCTGTAAATGACAGTTTAGAAATGACAGCACAACTTGTTTTTCGCCTTATATCCTGCACAATTGAATTTCAAAGGCCTTTCAATCTCCAGGATGAATGAGTAAATGCACAAACCAATCCACAACCAACGCAGAATAATGCATGCTTATAAGAACAAAATTAGAAGTACCAAAAATGCATGAAAGAGAAATGGAAGATACTGATTACCCAAATTCATCAGGAACGTTCCTCGAGACTTTCATCTTCCTTTTGCAACCATTGTAAAGTTCCTCAAGGCTAAAAGCCAATTTACTCTCAATCGCCCCGACCTTCTTGTCCTTCTGGCTCGCACTTTCCTCATTCTCACCGTCTTTCCTAGCAACCCGACTAGAATTGAGTGGATAGTGACCGTAAAAATCATAGATCTGACGCTTCTTGGGGTCGCTGAGAACATCATAAGCCTCGGATATCTGCTTGAATTTTGCCTCAGCGTCCTCTTTCTTGTCTGATTGATGATGATTCTTATCCGGATGCCATTTCATGGCCAATCTCTTGTACGCCTTCTTGAGCTCCTCATCGGTCGCAGTACGATTCACCTTGAGAATTTTGTAGTAGTCGCCAGCTCCCATTCTCGCCAATCTCAGCAAAATTGCGCGGAAATATCTGTGAAATTTGGGTTGAAGACGAAGAAGCTTTGATTCTAAATTTGCCGTAGTCTGTGGGTTCAGTCCGCGAGTGGTGGGCGAGTCCAGCAGAGCAGTTCCGTATATGTGAAGGAGGAGAGAGGAAGGAAAGCAAACGGGTGAAAGTAGCAGAAAATTCGCGCAAGGCTCTGCGCAGGGAGAGAGAGTGTGATAAGGAGAGAGGGTTAAAGATTTAAGAATGAACCAAGCGTTACACGCTAAGAAAGCCCCAAGTGAAACGTTTCACTTATTTTTAATTTAATTTAACATGTCATTATTATTACTTATTAGTTTTGAAGATAAATAAGTAACATCTAACATTAAATTAATTTTAATATATCAATTTTTATCCAAATACCTAACATTTGTTTTATTTTAAAATAATAAAAATCAAATTCTGTGAAAAATTTTCAGAAGTATTGTAGATCATTTTTGATGAAATGTAAATAGCTTTTTTCTTTTTTACTTTTTTATCTAAGAATTAATTCTAACAAAAATAATATGTCAATCAAGTTTTTCCTTTTAAAAAAATAAATTTTAAATTAACAAAAAAATCAAATATTAACAATCAAGGTGGGAAATCCAAATTGAAATTAAGAAAAAAATAATTAATTAGAAAAATATACTTAAATAGATTGGGTAGACTACATCATTTGTAATTTGTCTAATAAAAATATAATATTTATATAATATTAAATATAATTAATTTTGATATTAATAGTAGTAGAGAAAGAAAATGTAAAAAATTAAATATACATTTTGTTATAAAATTAAAATTAATTTAAAAATGTTATATAAAATTTTATTTAAATGATTTATAATATTTTAATTAAATAAATTATAAATGATGTAGTATATTCAATTTATCTAAATATTTTTCAATTAATTATGGGATGGTGGGCTAATTTTGTAATGACACGTTGGTATTTAAAATTGAGATGAACATTGTTTCCAAAGGAAGAGATTGGGTAAATAAAGAGGAAGTGGCAAATTAGGGGGCGACATATGTGGGTAACAGAGCTGTAAAGTTATGGAGGGTGCAATATACCGTACGAGAACGTGCGTTGAGTTGGAGAAGTGGTCATGTGGCCAAATGCTATTAGCTGGTGACTATACTCTGCAAGAAACACACCTTTTGGCACTTTCTTCCTCTGCTTTTCTTTACACGGTATATTCTTTTTCATTGACTTCAACAACCCCACTTCCAGAAAACTGTTTTTTTTTTTTTCTAGTACCCTTAAGGACTTCAACTTACTGGAATTTCCAATGGTGACCCTCAAAAACTTAAGGCTTGGTTTGGATGGAGGAAAACATGGATAGAAAATAATGAATAGAGAAAATTAGAAGAAGAAATTGGGAAAAACAGTATTTTTTTTTTTTACAATTTTTAAAAATTCTCTCTCATAATTGTTCTTCCTCTTCATTTACCCCATCCAAACGAAAGTAAATGTCAAGAACATAAAATTCTGTTCTTATCACCTAACCCTCTCGCCTAGTGGCACACAATAGTAACCAAAATTTATAATATATATTGATATTGAATTGAAGTTCTTTTTAGTACTACCTACGAGTCTAGTACAAAATAAGTCATGGTTAACCTTTCTTGTACTGCAATTGTTTCATCAACTTCCAAGCTTTCTTGCAAGTTACAACCGCTTAGAGGTGTATCATGCTGGGTTGCATATGATTTGTTTCTTTCAAGTTTTTGTTTTCTATGTGCTACTTGTTGTTTCGGTCTTCAAGTTTCATAATATTGCAATTGGCTCTTTTCAATTGTTGCTTTTGTATTTCATGGCAGTGATTATTGAGATCTTATGGGAGCTTTTCTTAATTATGCTTCCTACTTCTTAAAAAAAGGTCGAGTAACACATTTCAACTCGTTGTACTAATAATCAAGTTGCTTCTTCATCTACACTACACGAGTTGCGTTTGAAGTTGCTGCAAATTTGTGGGATACAAAGCTTGAAGTACAATTTTTTATGTATTAAAAACATGCGATTAATGTTTTGCAATGTTTGGTTTGTAACAAGTTGTTTTGTAGAAGGGAAATGAAAAATACACGTATCATACTTCTTTCTTTTTAACATTTTTGGTTTCATTTTTAGAAAATATTTTTTTAGGAACTAAACACGGTCTTCATGCCTTTTTGCATTTTATTTGTTTCTTTCTATTGGTTGTTTACGTTTTTGCTTCGTCGTTTTGTAAGGTCCAATATACAAACTCATTATGAATTTTACATGAAAAAATGACAGTTAAGTTCTAAATCAGTTAATTGATATCAATTAAGGATTCAATAATTTTTTTAAAAAAATAAGCTAAAAATATCAATCTAAATTATTATAAATTAAGGAGTTTTAATTACAAATGATTATTTAAATATTAAATGTAACTTTTAGATTATAATAAAAAATTTTATTTATAACTGTTTGAATTAATATTTGTAATTCATTTCATAACAAAATTTATTGAAGACTTAATTAATATTAATTTATTATTTTAAAATTTAACTGCCATTCTCCCATTTTACATTAGCCGTTTTAAATTTCCTCATTTGGTGTTTCTTTTTATCTTTCCCTGTTGCATGTGTGTGTCGGTCCAAGGATATTT